GACACCTACCACTCCGGCAGATCGATGTGAAGAATGCGTTCCTGTACGCATTAGTGGATGCCGTGATCTACGTGGAACAGCCACACACTTACGGCGACAGAGACCCACGCGTTTGTCAGCTGCGCAAGTCCCTCTACGGGATCAAACAGGCACCAAGGCTCTGGCAGCAGTACCTGCACAACATACTGCTTGAAATCGGATTCAAGCAGCTGCCTCACGATCCTGGGATGTATCGCCGCGATTTCCGTGGCGAATACATCCTACTCACGGTCTACGTCGACGACCTCCTCTACACAGGCTCAAGCAACGAACTGCTCGAGCAGTTTGAGAAAAGCCTCGCAGGGCGCGTCGACATCACCTGCAATCATGACGTGAAGCAGTTTCTCGGACTCGACATCACCTACTCGCCGGAAGCCATTCACCTCTCAGCAGCGAAGTATGCGGAGGAGCTTATCAAGCGCTTCAACATTGCGCCTGCACCACTCTCCACCCCTTACCGCACTCCAGGACCCAACCACAAGGCTGACAACAAAGCCCTGTCCCCTGCTAGGCTCCACACTTACCAGCAGCAGTTGGGATGCCTGCTTTTCGCATCCGTCACCTGCAGGCCCGACCTCTCCTACATTGCGAGCCAGTTGGCTCAGTACTCACGCAAACCAACGGCTGAAAATCTCTCAAATATTCAGCGAGCCCTTCAATTCTTCATCTCCACACCCAATGTCGGGCTCAGTTACTCCACCATCCCAACCACATCCTTCAGCCTCGTTGGCTACGTGGATGCCGATCACGCCGCTGATCCTGACAACCGACGGTCCAGGACAGGGTTCCTCTTCCGCCTCGAGCCCAGCGGCCCCATCTCCTGGAACTCCCAGAAGCAGGAGTTGGTTGCCCTGTCATCGGCGGAAGCTGAATTTATCGCAGCAACAGCAGCTGTTCGCGAAGGTCTCTACCTTCAGGAACTGCTGCAGGAAGCGAAAATTCCGGCCTCAACGAACTTTCGCCTGCACTGCGACAATCAGAGCGCGATCAGGATCACGAACAAACCTGGCTTCGTCAACCGCACCAAGCACATCGCGCTGCGGTACTTCTTCGTCAAGGACGAAGTTGACAAGGGCAAAGTTGACCTGACATACTGCCCAACGGGTGACATGGCAACAGATTTCCTTACGAAGAAACTGTCGCGTCAGCAGTACCAGCACTGCTCCGAACTCAGCGGAGTAGTCAAGCGGGTCAATGCTCGCTACGGCCAGGAGTGAAGGGGGGTATTACGAATAGTGGTTAATGAAAAACACTATTGCGCACTCCTCACCGTAGCAAAGCCGAAGCACACACTATCGAGAGTGAAGACGAAAAGGCAGAAGAAACGCGAAGGGACAGACGGTTACGAAGAGCATCTGGACCGTCGGGCAGACAGCATCAGACAGCAGCAGTAGCGAGGATTCTGCCCGAACAGTTACGTAATCACCCGGAGTCGCACGGTTGGGTTTCGCTGCAATGAGGGAATGTACCCCTTAGAGTACATGGCTAGTTAGGTCGTTTCGAATTCCCTTGCACTCATATTTATATTCCTTGTACTGCATGTTTTCATTATCTCAAGCATCTACATTCACTCTGCTATTGAGGTCAAGGGCCCACCACCACTTCACTAGAGTTGTGCGAACCTTCCTGAGGTGATCCTGGTTACGATCCCTTTTGATCGCAACAAAAACAGACACCAGCTTTAGTTGATTCGCGCGGTAGTTGAAATTGAGAAGCATCAAAGCCTTCGGAAGAATAAAGCGAAGCAGAGTGCACATGGTTCCGTTATACTGTGTTTCGTACTTTCCCTCTTCTGTCAAATCAGACACATCACATAATTATGTCTGGTATAAAAAAACAGGTTATAATGCCAACAATCTCTGACTGAGAAGGTCGTCTTTATCGAATATGACAAAGGTGCGCAGAAGCACAAATTCGAACCGAAGCTCATAACGAGTACAAAGGTACACCCTGCCCACCCCCCCCTCCATAGCCATCCAGCCCAGGCTGTTGCTCCTCCGTGGTACGTCATCTTTAGGAGGTTCGTGTCAGTGCCTCCTAAACCGTCGCATCTGCTCCCACACGCGCATCTGATACGAGGTAGCGCCATGTTGTCGCGCCATCTCGGCCGCAAGGCCGCGGATCTCGGGATCGCGCGGTCTCCGGCACTGCTGCGATCAATCGCAACCGTTCCCATCGCCGACCGCCATGCGATCTTGTCGTCACCGCCTTTCACGCCCGTTCCATCCTCTATTACCGAATCGCCCGCAGCGATCCCATCGCCACCCCATTTCTGCTTCTCCCGAGGTTCGTTTTTGCGAGAGTCGATGAAACGGCTGTTCAGCTTGTGCAGCCGCGGTTAGGGTTTCCTTATTTGCCAGCTCAGAAGCACTTGGGGCTTCATTTTGCGTTGTCTGCCGTGCAAGTGGATTCAACTGATTCGTACAGAAACAACTTAGGTGGACGATTGTTGTCAGTGTTTTTTAAAGAACCTACGCCATCAAGGTCACGGTTTCCGCTTAATGGCTGATGTTTTTTTATGTCGAATCGCTAGATTCGTAGCACGGCTGTCGTCGTACGATCTATCGACGTCGGAAATCCTTGTCCTGTTCCCCTTTCCCTTGTTTTCTTCCTGTGTCTTTCGTCTTCCCTTTTGCCAACCTTCACACATCCATGGCACACGCGAGCGTTTACGTGTCTGATTGTTTGCGCACGAGGCACTTAGATGGGCCATGGGAAAGCTTATCTGAGTGTCTAGGTGCTCTCAGATGGGCTGACTAGCTGGCGCATGTTGCGTCAGTGCCAGCTCCTGCATTTTCTGTTAAAATACATCAGACGAGTTTTTTCCTCGTTTCCTTCGTCCCACATTCCATTCCCTCGTCTAGATCCTCTCTTGCCTCTTCATTCATTCTCCTGACGCTTGTTTTTTTCGTTCCTCCCTGTTCCTCCTCGTAATTTTGTCATCTCCTCCCCTCACAAACTGAATGCCCCTCAACCTTTCCAAGGCATTCAAGCCTCTCGTGCCTTTCAAGCCTCTCGAGCCTCGAATGCTGTTTCAATCCTCGCATCTGTCGCGTTTCGCCTTTTTTAACCTTCCGCTGCCACACTTCCATCCGTACTCGCATCTCCGCTCTTATCCCCACGCCCATCCTTCCCATCCCTGCCCACCCGTCGCATCCCTGCACTAACCCTCCCATTCACCAACCCTCCTCTCAGTCTTCCGTTGACCTTCCCCTGATCCCTGCCAGGTTTCGCTGTGGACACAGATTTGCCCGCCCCCATCCACCCCTGCATCTTCCCATCCACCAGAGCTCGCTAACAAGACGCCTGCCCCTCCCATAATCAACGACCAAGCCACCCACCAGATCTCTACGGTTATGCTCTGTCCCTCACGCCACTCCTCTCCCCCCTTAGATGCTCCGTCCCTCCCACCCCCTTTCCTCCCCCCTCACAGGCTTTGCTGCCAATGCAGCACTGACCACCAGCCAGCCCACCGGAGCTCGCCCTGAAAACCCCCTCCGCCACCATCACCTACGACACCACCATCCACGAGCGCCTGCCGTGTCTTGACCATACAACCCAGTATTTCCCTCGGGTGCTTCCCCTTTCCCACCCCTCCCCTCCCCCTCACAGGCTTTGCAGCGGATGCAGCACTCACCACAGCTCCGCCCATCTCCGCCACGGAGCTCGCCCTGAAAACCCCCTCCGCCACCATCACCTACGACACCACCATCCACGAGCGCCTGCCGCCCGGGGACCCTTCCAAGCGTGCTTTCACCTACCTCGTCCTCACGGGCGGCCGATTCATCTACGCGTCTGCTCTCCGCCTGCTCGTGCTGAAATTCATTCTCAGTATGAGCGCGAGCAAGGATGTGCTTGCGTTGGCTTCGCTCGAAGTGGACCTTGGGAACATCGAGCCTGGTAACACGGTTACCGTAAAGTGGCGCGGGAAGCCGGTGTTCATCCGCCGCCGCACGCCTGCTGACGTGGCGAAGGCCAATGACGTGAACCTCTCGGAGCTTCGGGACCCCGAGCCTGATTCGGCCCGGGCGCCGAATCCAGAGTGGCTGGTTGTGATTGGCGTGTGCACACATCTGGGGTGTGTGCCGCTGCCGAATGCGGGGGATTACGGCGGGTGGTTCTGCCCGTGCCACGGGTCGCACTATGACATCTCAGGGCGTATTCGCAAAGGACCGGCTCCCACCAACCTGGAAGTGCCGACTTACAAGTTCTTGGATGAAACCAAGGTGCTGGTTGGCTGAGCGGTGTACTTTAGCCTACATACAGTTCAACACTGCGATGTTATAAAGCTTCTCATTGTAGTTCTGTGGGTTTGATTTCTTGGTCTTTGCTTGCGGTTCTGACTAGGTAGTCGTGTCAGTGCCAGTTGCCATGGAATGCAGGAGTCGCTGGTGGTTGAGATGATGACGTCGATACGACCATTACACTGTATTTGTGAGTGAAGGTAAACTGAGCAACCAAAGCAACGAAATTGGAATGGATACCGCGTTGTGATGCAAGCCATGAAATGTTGCACAATGATCACTACTCGGTACAACTGTAACCACCTGTGATCCAAGAGAGACCAACTATCACTCAGCTCCTGCCTGTGTTCCAGTCAAATAACGTGTTGTATCCCAGTCATTCCTCTTCTCTTCTGCTTTCCTAGCTTGGTGGACGCTCTGAAATGTGAACTCCCCTCCCCACCGCAAACTAGATGTGTGTTAGGCAGATGGAATTACAGGACGGTTGACGTCCTAGCATAAACATGAAACAACCATCGGGAAAAATGCCATTCCAGTCATCCGTCTCCAGTAAAGAGTATGAATACGGGAGTCTGGTTAGCTGAAGATGAGCCCGTGCTGGCCCAGCTCGGAATTTGCCGAGTGAGCGTCAGACACGTTGACAGAATGCCGATGTGGAACTGAACTTTTCCATTGCGGCTCACCAATCCGCGACTGCGAAGCCTCCCAGCTGGAGTAGGCAAAGATAGATACACACATCCCGCCAAGCTTCACCCATCGGACCTGCCCAAGCCGAACCAGATCCACGGAGATGTTCAGGGTGGCATGCGTGAGCGATCTCCAATGGAAAGTGAGTCTCAACGGCTTCGGAGGAGCCACAAACAGTTCGATTGGTGGACATGAGGTTCGGCACGCATGATATTCGGACAACGCGTCAGAAGCGAAAGCTAGGCAGCTTTCGCCCAATCGCATGATTTCCACTCAAGCCGCATCTGCGCCGCTAAGCCAGACCTAGCCCTGAGCCACTTGGCTCAAGTCCAGGAACATGTTTGCCCGAACAGATTCGAAGTCTCCCTCTTGGGGCAGGGCCATGTTTGGGCTGGTGCAGGAAGTGCTGTGCTGCCTGCCGAACCACATGCCACACGCACGGGACGAGGTGGCCACATAGTAAGAGGGTGAAAAAAACCCCAAACTCGGGGTTTGGCTGCTTGGAGCATGGAATCCGTGGATGAATGGATATGGATGGATGGATGGTAGGATGATGGGAAGTCTGGAGGATGGACGGATGGATTGGCCCTAGAGAAAGCCCACAACGAGCCTAGAGGTTTGGTGCTGCAGTGAATCCATCCACCCACTGGTGAGGCGAAACAGCTTGGAGATACGAGGGAGGGAAGTTGGATGTGGATGTTTAGATGTTCTGACTCTCAATCCTGTTGCTCTCATTCTCGCTCTTATCTGTGAGCTTCTCTTTCGAAGAAGCTTTTTCGAAGAGGACCCCAACAGGTTTCACACACTTGGTGTGTTTTGCATGTGCTCACGACCTGTTATAGGGTTTCTCTTTTTGGTTCGTAAGAGCTAAGCAGTAGCAATGGCGGCTGTCCGTGCGCTGTCGCTGTCGCTGCCCGTCAGCGCCAGTGTCAGGCTCTGTCCGCCAGCAGCAGGACTCCTCTACCCCTTTCCAACCGCGCGGTGCGTTTCTCAAGTTCAATGGCCTCAAGAGCACCGCCAGCCTCCCGTCGTCGAAGCAGTCCGTGCGATCCCCTGCTATGTCGCGCAAGGCCTCCAACGACCCCGTGCGACGCCTCGTGACGACGGCCGAGTTCTCTAAGGTTCCCCAGGAGCCCATGGGCCTGTACGACCCTGCATTGGACAGCGACGCCTGTGGTGTCGGCTTCGTTGCCGAGCTCTCCAAGATCCCCACGCGCAAGACTGTAAGCTGCTCACAAACCCTTCTCGAACGTCTATCCAGATTCAGATACTCTCGTCCGCAAGCCTGCTGAGATAAAAACAGATCGTTCGGTAGCATTCTAGCTAGCCTCGATTGCATATGTTTTTACCCAAATTACGGGAAATTTTAACACAGCACGCGGCTGTGTTCTTCTGTATTCAATACAGCTCCGTTGTAGCTTACCTCGATATTGTGGGTTGTGTTTCTTTCCAGGTGACTGACGCGCTCGAGATGCTTATCCGCATGGCGCATCGTGGTGCGTGCGGTTGCGAGGTCAACACGGGTGACGGCGCCGGTATCATGGTGGCTCTGCCGCACGACTTTTTCGTCAAGGTGACTGCCGTCACCCCAGCCTCCTCGTCTCTGGATTCGAGCTTTAGGATATGTTCGGCTGCATTTATGGCAGCTGCATTTCCTGCTTCCATCTTGTCCCTTTCTCGATAGATTTGTTCGACGGATTGTTTCCTAAACTCACGGTGCGTCGTCGTTCGTTTGTTTGTTTTGATTAATCCTTTTTCTTACTGTGCAGGTTGCCAAGGTGGATGCTGGCGTGACTCTCCCCGGCGCTGGGGGAGTACGGCGTGGGAATGTGCTTCCTCCCCACGGACAAGAAGCGCAGGAACCGCGGCAAGGAGGCGTTCAACAAGGTTCGGCTCTGCACTCCACACCCCAGCCGCGTCGTGCCACCACTCCAAATTTCTCTTGCGCATGTTCTCAAAACGCTCGCCTTAACTTATCGTTCATGACCGAACTTCCTTTCGTTTCGCTGGACTCTGACCCCCCCCTGTTGGTGGTTTGTTTGTCCTTCATGGTGGTGATCCGTTTTGGTGATCCTTTCTGGCGATCTCGCGCCGCAGGTGGCGGAGGAGATGGGGTGCAAGGTGCTGGGGTGGCGGCGCGTGTTAACGGACAACGCGGATCTGGGCAAGGCGGCGCTGGACACGGAGCCCATCGTGGAGCAGGTCTTCCTGCTCGTCAACAAGGACTCGCACCTCGAGGCCGAGCAGCAGATGTGGCTGCTGCGCCGCACTGCCATGAAGGCCGTTCGTGAGGCGCTCAACCTCAAGGTCGGCGGCACCCGCGACTTCTACATTTGCTCGCTCTCCACCAGGTTCGTTGATCCCTTGGTCTCTTCGTCCATTCATCCTTTCGCTTGGTCCATCGGACTGTTTGTCCCATGGGCCTTCCACTTTTTTCTTGTTGGCTTGTCGATAACCATTTTCACAATGAGAGTTTCTTTGTTTTCAAGAAAAGGATTGGCTTTCCACCGGGTCACCGAGTTGGCATTTACGCAACAGTCTGAGCACGTGTGAGGAAACAGCATAGATCCGATGAAAATATGAGGAAACAAAAGTGATTGTGCAAGGCGACCATGCTGTCCTAGTGCTTGACACGTCTTTCCCGTGTACGTGCGGGTGCGTGGACGTGCATGTTTGGGGCAATGCAGGACGATTGTCTACAAGGGGCAGCTGAAGCCGGAGCAGCTGCAGGCTACTACCACGCCGACCTCGACGACGCTCGCTTCACCTCTTACATGGGCCTCGTGAGTTGCCCATCCACTTTCTCCCGTTCGCCCGCCCTCTCGCTCGTCCCCCCGCGCGGCCCCATGCCTTCCTGTTTGTTCGCACTGAATTCACCCCAGCTTTGTCGCTGGGTCTGGCTAGATTTGTCGCTTCCAGCAATACTTTGCGCCGTTTCCTCCCTCACTAACCGCGCATTCCCCCTCTCCCTCTCTCTTTACCAGGTGCACTCGCGGTTCTCAACGAACACTTTCCCGAGCTGGGAGCGCGCGCAACCGATGCGCATTCTGGGGCACAACGGCGAGATCAACACGCTGCAGGGCAACGTCAACTGGTCAGTCGCTGCGCCTGTTGTTGCACACCGTGTCTGTCACACGCTGATTCTGTCGCACGCTGGTTCTGTCGCTCGCTGGTTCTGTCGCACGCTGGGTCTGTCGCACACTAGGTCCAGAAACGAGCAGCTCGAAAAAGGCTCGTGGGTTCTCAGGATCTAACCAACACCACCACTTCACCATCTCCCCCGCCGCAGGATGCGCGCGCGCGAGGGGCTGATGAAGTGCCCGGGGCTCGGCATTTCCAAGGAGGAGCTGGACGCCGTGCTGCCCGTCATCGACGCCAACTCGTCCGACTCGGGCGCGTTCGACGGCGTGCTCGAGATGCTGGTGCGCGCCGGCCGCACGCTGCCCGAGGCGGTCATGATGATGATTCCCGAGGCGTGGCAGAACGACAAGAACATGTACCCCGAGAAGAAGGCGCTCTATGAGTACCTCTCCGCGCTCATGGAGCCCTGGGACGGACCTGCTCTCATCGCCTGTGAGTCCCTCACCTCTCTCGTTACCTGTGTGAGCATCTCTATGAGTACCTCTCCGCGCTCATGGAGCCCTGGGACGGACCTGCTCTCATCGCCTGTGAGTCCCTCACCTCTCTCGTTACCTGTGTGAGCATCTCTATGAGTACCTCTCCGCGCTCATGGAGCCCTGGGACGGCCCTGCACTCATCGCCTGTGAGTCCCTCACCTCTCTCGTTGCCTGTGTGAGCATCTCTATGAGTACCTTTCCGCACTCATGGAGCCCTGGGATGGCCCTGCTCTCATCGCCTGTGAGTCCCTCACCTCTCTCGTTGCCTGTGTGAGCATCTCTATGAGTACCTTTCCGCACTCATGGAGCCCTGGGATGGGCCCGCCCTCATCGCCTGTAAGCTACCCTATACCTCTCAATGCCCACACCGTCTAATCACCTAGGATTGCCCGCTCTCATAGCCTGTGTTCTACTGGTTTATTTCCCTGCTCTCATTACCTTCTGCCTCCATGACAAGAGCTGGTTTTCTATTCGAACCTCTCCTCCAACCTCCTCCCTATCCCCCCATTCCATCCCCCATGCTGCAGTTTCCGACGGCAAGTACGTGGGTGCGACTCTTGATCGCAACGGTCTGCGTCCCGGCCGCTACTACGTGACGCACAGCGGCCGCGTCATCATGGCCAGCGAGGTGGGCGTCGTCGACGTGGACCCTGCTGACGTGGCGCGCAAGGGCCGCCTGAACCCCGGAATGATGCTATTGGTGGACTTCGAGAAGCACGAGGTGGTGGACGACGAGGCGCTCAAGCGCCAGTACTCGAGCCAGCGCCCCTACGGCGAGTGGCTGGCCAATCAGAAGCTGACGCTCGGCGACATCGTCGCGTCCGTCCCGGAGGCGGACCGCGTGCCGCCGCCGATCGAGGGGGCTACGGAAGTCGATCCCTCCGCAGATCAGACAATGGAGACGATGGGTATCAACGGGCTGACGACGCCGCTGAAGGCGTTCGGGTACACGATCGAGGCTCTGGAGATGCTGCTGCTGCCCATGGCACAGACGGGGTCCGAGGCGCTGGGATCCATGGGGAATGACACGCCGCTCGCGTGCATGTCCACGCGGCCGAAGCTCATGTCGGAGTACTTCAAGCAGCTCTTCGCGCAGGTCACCAACCCCCCCATTGATCCCATCCGCGAGGCGGTTGTCACGTCGACCGAGTGCATGGTGGGTCCGGAGGGGGATCTGACGGAGACGACTGAGGAGCAGGCGCACAGGCTGTCGCTCAAGGGCCCGCTGCTGACGCCGGAAGAGACGGAGGCGATGAAGAAGATGGACCACCGCGGGTGGCGCACGGCTGTGGTGGATATCACGTTCGCCAGGAGCGAGGGGCCGGACGGGCTGGAAAAGGCGCTGGATCGGATTTGTGCCGAGGCGAGCCTGGCGATTGAGGCTGGATACAAGATGCTCGTGCTGTCCGACCGAGGTGAGTAGGGGTTCAGGTCAGGGTTGCGTAGGTGCTGCTGGGCTTGGGTGTTGGGTGTTGTGAAGGGTTCGGGTTTCGGGTTTAGAGGCTGAGATGTGCGAGTGCTGGCAAATCTCGAGATGTGTTTTCTGTGACGTCCCAAGGTGTTGATCTGGGTTTGTGCCTATCTTTTGGGACCAAGCACTTCAGATGCTTCTTGTTGGTATGAGCCACATTACATGGCAGTAAGAGTCGAAACCAACAGTGCACTGCTGATTATGATGGGCGCGCTGTACTACCATCTCGTGCGTATGCTGCAGCGCACGCACTCACACCTCCCGTCATGTCCTCCCCTCCCCTTACCCGCCCTTCCCTGCAGCCACATCCCCGACCCGCGTGCCCGTGAGCGCGCTCCTGGCTGTGGGCGCGGTGCACCAGCACCTGGTGCGCACGCTGCAGCGCACGCGGATCGGCATCGTGGTGGAGTCGGGCGAGCCCCGCGAGGTGCACCACTTCTGCACGCTCGTGGGGTTCGGCGCCGACGCCATCTCGCCCTACGTCGCCACCGAGGCCATCTGGCGCCTGCAAGTTGACGGCAAGATCCCGCCCAAGGCGGACGGGTCCCTCCGCACCAAGGACGAGCTCATCCGCACGTACTTCAACGCGAGCAACGCCGGCATGCTCAAGGTGCTGGCGAAGATGGGCATTTCCACGCTGGCTTCGTACAAGGGCGCGCAGATCTTCGAAGCCTTGGGGTTGTCGAGCGATGTGGTGGACCGGTGCTTCCGGGGCACGGCGAGCAGGATTCAGGGCGTGTCGTTTGACGTGCTGGCGGCTGATGCGATCCGCATGCACGACCAGGCGTTCCCGCTGGGAACCGAGAAGAACCTTGCGGAGGATTCCGCGGACGCCATTGCTGTGCCGAACCCTGGGGATTACCATTACAGGAAGGGTGGGGAAGTGCATTTGAACGATCCGGTGGCGATCTCGCGGCTGCAGGAGGCCGCGCGGACGAATAGCCCGGCGGCTTATAAGGAGTATGCGGCGATTACGAACACGCTGAACCAGCAGTGCAACCTGCGCGGCATGCTGAAGTTCAAGCCGGCGCCAGGTGGCGCGATCACATTGGAGGAGGTGGAGCCGGCGAGCGAGATTGTGAAGCGGTTCTGCACGGGAGCCATGAGCTACGGGTCTATCTCTCTTGAGGCGCATCAGAGCCTGGCGATTGCTATGAACACGATTGGAGGGAAGTCGAACACGGGCGAGGGAGGCGAGAACCCGTCCCGGCTGGTCCCCAACCCGGACGGGAGTAACAATATCCTCAGGTCGTCTATCAAGCAGATTGCGAGCGGGCGGTTTGGCGTGTCGGCGTATTACCTGACGAACGCGGATGAGCTTCAGATTAAGATGGCTCAGGGCGCGAAGCCCGGGGAGGGAGGCGAGTTGCCCGGGCACAAGGTGATTGGGGACATTGCTGTGACGAGGAACAGCACGCCGGGAGTGGGGCTCATCAGCCCGCCGCCCCACCACGACATCTACTCCATTGAAGATCTGGCGCAGCTCATTTACGATCTCAAGGTGAGCTGGTGTGAGCGACCGGTGATATGGATAAGGGGTGGGAGAGGGAGGCTGGTAACCCCGTGTAAGCATGTTTGGGGAATCACAAGTTCGGCCAGGGTGGGGCAAGGTTCAGGCGCAAGGGGACCAAGGAATGAGTGGGTGTGAGCTCGTGATGAAGAGTTCATATAAGCTCGTAAGGGGTGGATGTGTGGTCAGACCACGGTCTAGTTGAGGGTGAACCAGACCGTGTCCTCATACACGCCCTTCCTCTTCACTGGGGGGTGTTTTTGAGAAATCTCAAAAACTTACTGCAGCGTAAAGAGTTAGGGTGGATGTGTGGTCAGACCACGGTCTAGTTGAGGGTGAATCGGACCATGTCCTCATATACGCCCGTCCTCTTCACTTCGACCTCCTAAACCCTGTCCTGGATGTATGCCTTCCCCTTCCATCCACCTGTCTCGCTCCCGTCCTTAACTCCCCAAAACTCCAACCCAGGCCGCTCACGTGCTCATCTCTGCCTCATCCCTGTCTTTTCCCATCCCCCCCCCCTCCTCCCCCCCCCCCCCCCCCCCCTTGAATTCAGAACTCCAACCCCGGTGCGCGTGTGAGCGTGAAGCTGGTGTCCAAGGCGGGCGTGGGAGTGATTGCAAGCGGAGTAGTGAAGGGCCATGCGGACCACGTGCTCATCTCGGGCCACGACGGCGGCACCGGCGCGTCCCGTTGGACCGGCATCAAGTCCGCCGGCCTCCCCTGGGAGCTCGGTATCGCCGAGACCCACCAGACGCTCGTGGCCAATGACCTGCGCGGCAGGACTGTGCTGCAGGCGGACGGGCAGATGAAGACCGGAAAGGATATCACAGTTGCGGCGCTGCTTGGTGCTGAGGAGTTTGGGTTTTCGACCGCGCCGCTGATTACCCTTGGGTGTATTATGATGAGGAAGTGCCATAAGAATGTGTGCCCGGTCGGGATTGCGACCCAGGACCCGGTGCTTCGCGCGAAGTTTTCCGGGCAGCCGGAGCACGTGATCAACTATTTCTTCATGGTGGCGGAGGAGGCGCGCGAGTACATGGCGCAGATGGGCTTTAAGACCATGGACGAAATGATCGGCCGCGCCGACATGCTCGAGCAGGACATGGACCTCTGCAACTCCAACCCCAAGCTGCAGAACATTGACCTCTCCGTGCTGCTCACCCCCGCTGCCACCCTCCGCCCGGGTGCCGCCCAGCGGTGCGTGCAGAAGCAGGACCATGCTCTCGAGCTGGCGCTCGACCAGAAGCTGATTCAGCTCGCGCAGCCGGCGATCGCGCAGAAGATTCCGGTGTTTGCCGAGGTGCCGATTGTGAATGTGAACCGCGCCGTGGGGACCATGCTGTCGCACGAGGTCACCAAGGTGCATCGCCTGGAGGGGCTGCCTGCTGATATGATCCACTTCAAGCTCACGGGCAGCGCTGGGCAGAGCTTCGGCGCGTTTACCTGCAAGGGGCTGACTCTGGAGCTGGAGGGGGATAGCAATGATTATGTGGGCAAGGGGCTGTCTGGCGGGAAGCTGATTATCTACCCGCCCGCCGCGTCGACGTTTGATCCCAAGGAGAATATCATCATTGGGAATGTGGCGCTGTATGGTGCTACGTCTGGCGAGGCGTATTTCTGCGGCATGGCTGCGGAGCGGTTTGCAGTGAGGAATTCTGGAGCTAGGGCGGTTGTTGAGGGTGTGGGGGATCACGGGTGCGAGTACATGACGGGCGGCACGGTGGTGATTCTGGGCGGCACTGGGAAGAACTTCGCTGCGGGAATGAGCGGCGGGACGGCGTACATCCTCGACCGGGAGGGAGACTTCCACAAGAGATGCAACACAGGGCTTGTCGACCTCGACCCTGTAGTGGAAGAGGCAGACGTGCTGCTGCTGCGCTCCATGATTCAGCAGCACCAGAGGTATACCAAGAGCAAGCTGGCAGGCGAGGTGCTGGCGGAGTTTGAGGAGCTGCTGCCCAAGTTCGTGAAGGTGTTCCCGAGGGACTTTAAGAGGGTGCTGGAGGAGGAGCGGGTGAAGCGGGAGAAGGAGGCCGCGGCGCTCAAGGAGAAGGACGCGTTCGAGGAGCTCAAGAAGCTGGCGGCCGCGAGTGGAGGGGAGGTCAACGGGTCCGCTGCTGTGGTGAGTGAGGGCTGCTGTTGTGCTGGTTTTCGTTCGTTTTGTCGTTTGAGGAACTCTAGAGGCTGGCGGAGGCGAGTGGGGGGAAGCAGGAAGTCAACGGGTCCGCTGCTGCTGTTATGTTTGTCTCGTTCGTTCCAATGTTTGGCCCACGCTGCCTTGCAGTGGATCAGGCCACCTTCTTCCCACGAAACGCCATGCCTCTCACGTCCTACCCATTCCCTCTCACGTCCTACCCATTCCCTCTCACGTCCTACCCATTCCCTCTCACGTCCTACCCATTCCCTCTCACGTCCTACCCATTCCCTCTCACGTCCTACCCATTCCCTCTCACGTCCTACCCATTCCCTCTCACGTCCTACCCATTCCCTCTCACGTCCTACCCATTCCCTCTCACGTCCTACCCATTCCCTCTCACGTCCACCCATTCCCTCTCACGTCCTACCCATTCCCTCTCACCTACTGCATATGACTCCCCCCTCCTCCCCCGCCCTTCCCAGCAGGCACCCCCCAAGCGCCCCACGCGCCTCCCTACGCCGGTCAAGTTTGGCGGTTTCATGAAGTACGAGCGCGAGCCGCTGCCGTACCGCCCGGCCGAGGAGCGCCTCACCGACTGGGGCGAGGTTCTCGCCTCCGACCCCGGCCGCCCCGAGCTCCTCAAGACCCAGTCCGCCCGCTGCATGGACTGCGGCACTCCCTTCTGTAACCAGGACAAGTCGGGGTGCCCGCTGGGGAACAAGATTCCCGAGTTCAATGAGTTGGTGTACCAGGGCCGGTGGAAGGAGGCGCTGGATCGATTGCTCGAGACGAATAACTTCCCCGAGTTTACGGGGCGGGTGTGCCCCGCGCCGTGCGAGGGCGCGTGCGTGCTGGGGATTATTGAGAACCCCGTGTCGATTAAGACCATGGAGCTGAGTATTATTGACAAGGCGTATGAGATGGGGTGGATGGTGCCCCGCCCGCCCGCCAAGAGGACCGGGTAAGGATTGGGGGGGGAGGGAGTGTTTTGGCTGGTGGAGTGTGAGGGAATGGGAAGGTTCCAAACTCTACTAAATCACCACAACCAAATCTCATATGCTATGGCTGTGCGTACTAGGAATCCTGCTATTAAGGTTCTGACTAAATCAAAACCTCACCTGTTAACCCTTACCCCCCCTCCTCTTACCTCTACAGGAAGAAGGTGGCGGTGATTGGCAGTGGCCCGGCCGGTCTAGCCGCAGCGGACCAGCTGAACAAGCGCGGGCACACGGTCACTGTCTACGAGCGGGCGGACCGCATCGGCGGGCTGATGATGTACGGCGTGCCCAACATGAAGACGGACAAGACCCACGTGGTGCAGCGCCGCGTGGACCTCATGGCCGCCGAGGGCATCACCTTTGTCACCAACGCACACGCGGGGGTCGACGAGCAGTACAGCCTGGATAAGCTCAGAGCAGATAATGATGCCATGCTGCTTGCCTGCGGGTCGACCAAGCCAAGGGATCTGCCCGTCCCCGGGCGCGAGCTCAAGGGCGTGCATTTCGCCATGGATTTCCTCGCGGCGAACACCAAGTCGCTGCTGGACAGCGGGCTCAAGGACGGGAGGTTTATCTCGGCGGAGGGCAAGAAGGTGGTCGTGATTGGTGGAGGTGACACGGGCACGGACTGCATTGGCACGAGTCTGAGGCACGGGTGCGAGTCGCTGGTGAATCTGGAGCTGCTGCCGCAGCCGCCGCCGTCCCGCGCCGATGGCAACCCCTGGCCGCAGGTACGGTTGTTGTCCTGGCTGATGTGCTGTGTAGTAAAACCCATTGGCTGGTGTGGCCTTGCACCCCCGGTGCCAGCTGCTCTCATTCATGGGCCTCTCTCCCTCACAACCACCCCTTGCCACCCCTTCTCTCCTCTACTACCCCCAGTGGCCGCGTATCTTCCGGGTGGACTATGGCCACGAGGAGGCCAAGACCAAGTTCGGATCCGACCCGCGGTCGTACGAGGTGCTGACGAAGCGGTTCATCGGGAACGATGCGGGCGAGCTGACGGGCATCGAGACGGTGCGCGTGCAGTGGGCCAAGGACGCTTCTGGAAGGTTCCAGATGAGCGAGGTGGCGGGGTCCGAGGAGGTGATCCCCGTCGACCTCGCTCTGCTCGCCATGGGCTTCCTGGGCCCGGAGCAGGTCAGTGCCTTGCCTGGGGTGTGCTGGGAGTTGTGGGAGTGCGCAGAGTGTCTGTAGTGGTGGTGCATTGGGTCGGAGTGCTTGTGGGGCAACCCCTTACCTTACCCCCTCCGTCTCCTGGGTGCAGAATGTGGCGGAGAAGCTGGGGCTGAAGACGGACGCGAGGAGCAACTTCCAGGCGGACTACGGGCAGTTCGCCACCAATCTGGAGGGCGTCTTTGCTGCCGGCGACTGCCGCCGCGGACAGGTACGGCCCTGCTACCTAGCCTCGCTTCTCCTGTGCCTTGAAATGCCTTCCTACTGTTCTTTGTGCGAAGAACTGTGTCAGGGCAGCTGCTGCCTCCCTGCTATGTTATGGTAGTCACTGTTCTACTCTGAAACAACCCACCTTCTGCCTGTCCCCCTGCACTCCCCTTCTCTCCAGTCTCTGGTGGTGTGGGCTATTGCGGAGGGCCGTGGCGCAGCGGCGAACATCGACGCATATGTGATGCGTGGAGAGGAGGTGGACATGGCACCGCAGGAGAGGGAGCTCGTGGAGGTGGCTGCCAGGACTGTTGCTGCTGTGGACGCTGCTGAGCGGAGCGCTGCCACCAATGGCAGTGCCACTAACGGGAGTGCCACTAATGGAAGTGCTACAAATGGGAGTGCCACGAAGGGGAGAGCGTTCCCGGAGGGCGTGGAGCAGGCACGGGTGGAAGCGGTTGATGTGAGTTGAAAGGGGTTTGGTTGATGATTGGGGAGTGGGGCTGATGGGTGTGGGGGAGGCTGGGTGGGCGATGGTTCTCAAAGGGGTGGAGCAGTCATGGGCGGAAGCGGATTGTGAGTTGAAAGGGTGAAGGTGTGGGGGTGGGGATGGTGGGGGATGAGGATGGGGGGGTGAGGACGGGGTAGTCATATTGAGCCTGGAAGGGAGAGCGTTCCCAGGTGCGGGAGGGTTTTATATTCAAGGCTGGTATGCCCTTGATATGCCCCACTAGCTTTTCCCCCATGAAGGAGCTGATGATTGGACTCATTGCTCTGACAACCATCCCTACCCTCCCTTCCCCTCACCCCCGCCCGACCTGTCACCCCCTTGCCCCACCAGGCGTGTCTGATGGTAGAGGGAGAGGACGATACGGAGCACATTGAGGCGTGTGTGGAGAAGAGTGTTGAGGCTGCTGCCTTGGGAGACGGCACCCCTGTGTCGGAGCAGAGCTATTAGAGTTTCTCAAGGCTGCCATGTTGGGTTGAAGTCTGCTGGCTGGTTATATTTAGGAGTGAATTAGTGTGATTAAAACATCAGGGTGGTTCAAGGTTCTGTTATGCCATGTCGCAATCATAAATATATACCTTATCAACCTGCATGCATGAGATGGGAATCTAGAACCTGGAATTTTCATATTGTGAAACTGGGAAAATGTGCCTGGAGGCAAATAAAATTGCCATTCCAGTTTCGTCTAATGCATACGCACCTGATTCAAGCCCTTAGAGCGTGGAACATCCTTGTGAACAAGTGCCTCTGCTTGCCCCCTCGTGCCTCTGCTTGCCCCCTCGTGCCTCTGCTTGCCCCCTCGTGCCTCTGCTTGCCCCCTCGTGCCTCTGCTTGCCCCCTCGTGCCTCTTCTTGCCCCCTCGTGCCTCTTCTTGCCCCCTCGTGCCTCTTCTTGCTCCCTCTTGCCCCCTCTTGCCCCTGCTTGCCCCCTCTTGCCCCTGCTTGCCCCCTCTTGCCCCTGCTTGCCCCTTCTTGCCCCTGCTTGCCCCCTCTTGCCCCTGCTTGCCCCCACTTGCCCAGTCCCCATGTGTATCTGTGCCTCCCCATGCACCCCCATGCCTGCCTCCCCCCATGCGCCTCCCTTTCACATCCAACGCCTCACAGGTCATCATAGACGTGCGGGGCAACAGCGGCGGCTCCGTGCAAGCAGCAGCATTCACAGCCATCCGCCTGCTCATGCGTCCGCATTTCCGCATGTCCTCCCCCTCCTCCCCTCCCCCGCCCCCCCCTCCTCTCCCTCCAGATCCAACGCCACACAGATCATCATAGACGTGCGGGGCAACAGTGGCAGCTCCGTGCAAGCAGCATACACAGCAGTGCGCCTACTAATGGGGGCAGCCAAGGTCCCAGACTCCCAGTTCACCCTCCCCTTGGATTTCGTCATCGGCACGCCGTACACAGAGAAGGCCATGGGTGTGCTTTCTGTCGACAACACCACGGCGCCGCACTACTACCAAGGGCTGTACACCGATCTGAACGGCACCGAGCTTTCGAGCGTCTTTGACTACGCGCCTTTCCGCGAGCTCCGCTTCACAGAGGCCGGCCGTGCCGGGAATTACTCGGCGCCGTTCAAGTTTGATTACAGGAAGCAGCTTCCCGTGACGCAGAAAGAGCCGGTGTTTGGCGACCGCCCCTTCGTGGTCCTGTCGGACGGAAACTGCTACTCTGCGTGTGCCGTCCTCACGCACGTCCTGGGGAAACGCCACAAAGTACCCATGGTAGCCGTGGGTGGTTTGCCCAACCAGCCCCCCGATGTGAGCTCCTCGTGCCTCGGGTTTACCCTGACTGACTACTTTGCGATGGCTGAAGGTCTGTACAAACTCGCTGCCACGGACCCACAGAAGGGGTCGATGCCTCTCAAGGTGCAAGGGGTGCTTACCATGGCGTTTACCAATGCCTACGTGGATTCGGAGATTCCGTGCGAGTTTGAGTTTCTGCCCAGCCAGCATCACATCAACTACACCGTTGATCTCATTGACAAGCCCTGGGCCATGTGGACTGAGGTGGCCAAACTCTTTGCCTCCGCTGCTGCCTAGTCCATTCCTCGGGCACCCCAGTGGTTGAACCACTTGAGCCTTATTATTAATGCCCCTCCATGTGTGGTGTTGGTTGAAAACGGGGCTCCTAGACTAATTGCTTATGCTGGTGGTGGATATTTATCATGCTTGGGTATGTTGATGGATGGTGGTTGTTGTGCTGATGATGTTTAATTTATCGTGATATTCAGTATTTCTCCTGAAGATCGGGGTGAGCTATCATTCTAATGAGTGTTCTCTGTATCATCCAGTTTCACATAACATACCATAACTCTGGCTGATTTCATTCCTGTTATGGGCAGAACAAATCACCTTTGTCTCAAACACATGTACTAAGATGCTTTCTTTCCAGCAACAATGTAAAAAACAATGGCTGGATGGATTAGTTATAGCGCAACTTGCTGGTGCAGATTGCTACCGGTAGCTTTTTTTGCGCGTGCAACGAAGGTGTACAGCATACATGGAGATAATATATGCTCGTATATGAAAGCTATTTACGGGGAAAAGTATACTTCATTTATTGTGCTACATGATGGGCATGTTTGTCCAGTGAGTAAAGCGAGTAGTTTCACAACGAAGCATTCTCGGTCGAGCTGGAATGGCAGCTCAACTGTGCAGTGCTAGACGCGCAGCAGAGATGGGGGGAATGGTGAGTAGGGGTTGAGCAACAGAGATGGGGGGAATGGTGAGTAGGGGTTGAGCAACAGAGATGGGGGGAATGGTGAGTAGGGGTTGAGCAACAGAGATGGGGGGAATGGTGAGTAGGGGTTGAGCAACAGAGATGGGGGGAATGGTGAGTAGGGGTTGAGCAACAGAGATGGGGGGAATGGTGAGTAGGGGTTGAGCAACAGAGATGGGGGGAATGGTGAGTAGGGGTTGAGCAACAGAGATGGGGGGAATGGTGAGTAGGGGGGGAGCACAGAGAGGGAACAATTGGCAGGGAGGGGAGGAGCAGCAGAGAGGGGGGAAATGGTGAGGACAGGCAGAGCAACAGGGAGGGGGAAATGGCGAGAAGGGGATGAGCAGCAGAGGGGCGCAAGCAGCAGGGAGGGGAGGAGCAGCACCGATTGCAGGAAGTCATTCAGTCTCCATTCTCCTCTCACCCCCCCACCACCCCCACCCTCCTTCCCCCTCCCACCCCCCTCCTCTGTCCACTCCCCTTCCCCATGAGCAGCAAGAAGGTGGCGGTGATCAGCAACAGTGGTCCTACGAGGTGCTACGAGGTGCTACGAGGTGCTACGAGGTACTACGAGGTACAATGAAGCGATTCACCAGCAACGATGTGGGCGAGCTGACGGGCATCGAGACGGCGCGTGTTTGGCTGGTTCCAGATGAGCAAGGTGGTGATTCCCATCGACCTCGCGCTGCTCTGGACTTCCTGGGCCCGGAGCAGGTCAGTGCCTCTGCTGGGAACTTAGTGGTTGGGAGTGGTTGTAAGTGGTTGGCGTGGTGGTAGTGTTGGTGGGGGTGATTCCAGTGGACCTCGCGCTGCTCGCCATGGGCTTCCTGGGAAACGCCCTGCTGGCAGAGTTGAGGGGTTTGAGTAGTGGGATTGGTTAGAGTGGTGAGTGTGGATGCGAGTGGCGGGAATGATTGGGGGGAAGTGCTAAGAGTGGTTCGGAGTGCTGGGAGTGGTTGGGGGGAGCGGTAGGAGCGAATGGGAGAGGTGGGAGTGGTTCGGAGTGGTGGGAGTGATTGAGAGTGCTAAGAGTGGTTAGGAGTGGTGGGAGTGGTTGGGAGTAGTTGGGAGTGATTGGGAGTGGTGAGAGTAACTGGGAGTGGTGGGAGCGGTTGGGAGTGGTTGGAAGTACTGCGTGTGGTAGGGAGTGTTGGGTGTGATTGAGATTGGTGGGATTGATTGGGAGTGGTGGGAGTGATTGGGAGTCTTGGGAGTGATTGGGATTGGTGGGAGTGATTGGGAGTGCTGAGAGTGGTTGTGAGTGGTGGGAGTGGTTGGGAATTGTGGGAGTGGTTGGGGGTGACCGGAGTGGTAGTAAGTGGTGGGAGAGGTTGTGAGTGTTGGGAGTGGTTGGGAGTGGTTGGGAGAGGTGTTAGTGGGTGGGAGTCGTGGGAGTGGTTGGGAGTGGTGGGAATGGTTGGTAGTGCTGAGAGTGGTTGGGAGTGGTTGGGAGTGATTGGGAGTGGTGGGAGTGATTGGGAGTGTTGAGAGTGGTTGGGAGTGGTTGGGAGTGATTGGGAGTGGTGGGAGTGATTGGGGATGGTGGGAGTGGCTGGGATTGCTGAGAGTGGTTGGGAGTGGTGGGAACGGTTGGGAGTGGTTAGGAGTGGTCGGGAGTGCTGCGAATGGTTTAGAGTGGTTGGGAGTGACTGGGAGTGGTGGGAGTGATTGGGAATGGTTGGGATTGATTGGGAGTGCTGGAAGTGGTTGGGAGTGCAGAGAATGATTGGGAGTGGTTGGGAGTGGTCGGAGTGATTGGGATGGGAGTGAAGGGAGTGGCTGGGGTGGTTGGGAGTGGTGGGAGTGGCTGGGGTGGTTGGGAGTGGTGGGAGTGGTTCGGAGTGCTGGGAGTGGCTGGGTGTGCTGCTAGTGTTTGGGAGTGGTTGGGAGTGATTGGGAGTGGTGGGAGTGATTGGGAGTGAAGGGAGCGGTTGGGATTGCTGGGATTGGTTGGGAGTGCTGAGAGTGGTTGGGAGTTTTTGGGAGTGATTGGGAGTGTTGGGAGTGGTTGGGAGTGCTGAAAGTGTTTGGGAGTGGTGGGAGTGATTGGGAGTGGTGGGAGTGATTGGGAGTGGTGGGTGTGGTTTGGAGTAGTTGGGAGTGGTTGGAAGTGCTGAAAGTGTTTGGGAGTGGTGGGAATGATTGGTAGTGGTGGGAGTGTTTGGGAGTGATTGGTAGTGGTGGGAGTGATTGGGAGTGGTGGGAGTGATTGAGAGTGGTAGGAGTGAGGTGCACAGCGGAAAAAAAAAATCGCTCCTAACCCCTGGTATGCGCTTCATACCCGACCTGACACTTCACCCCAACGAGCTCAGTCTCTCAGATGGTGGAAGATGAGAGTAGCAAAGATAGCGTAGGCAACCAAATTTACCCTCACCACATACACTTCCCCCACCCTCTTCCCAACCCCACCCCACCTGTCACCCCCTTGTATTCCACCAGGCATATCTGATAGTGGAGGGAAATCACGACACAACACTTGTGTGTCACCTGCGCCCACCTCATTTCAACGCTTACATAACCCTAACCTCCCCACACTCTCACCTCACCCTTCCTATCACCCCCTTGAGTCATACCAGGCGTGTCTGATGGTGGATGGAGTCGACTCGAAAGGCAGCGGCAAACATTGGTGCGAGATGACTCTTGAGTCGACTCAAAAGGCAGCAGCGAACATTCATGCGAGATGACTCTTGAGTCGACTCAAAAGGCAGCAGCGAACATTGATGCGAGATGACTCTCGAGTCGACTCAAAAGGCAGCAGCGAACATTGATGCGAGATGACTCTCGAGTCGACTCAAAAGGCAGCGGCGAACATTGATGCGAGATGACTCTTGAGTCGACTCAAAAGGCAGCGGCGAACATTGATGCGAGATGACTCTTGAGTTGACTCAAAAGGCAGCAGCGAACATTGATGCGAGATGACTCTTGAGTCGACTCAAAAGGCAGCGGCGAACATTGATGCGAGATGACTCTTGAGTCGACTCAAAAGGCAGCGGCAAACATTGATGCTTATGTGATGCGCGGAGAGGAGGTGGGCATGGCACCGCAGGAGAGGGAGCTCGTAATGGTTGTGCTTCTGAGAGGCCTTTAGAGCGCCACTATTGGGAGCGCCACGAAGGGGTGAGCCACCAAGGAGATTGCGTTACTGGAGGGCTTGGAGCAGGCATGGGTGGAAAGCGGTTGATGTGAGTTGAAAGGGTTGATGGAAATAGAAGGAACGGGACGGGGGTGTTTTTTATGTAACCACCCTTGCTTTGTTTCATGAGATGTCACACAGTGCACAATGGAAGGTTATGAACTCACTCCTGTGTGCCGATATGCCCCTGATAGCCCACTTCACTCTTCACCCCACCACGACGAGGTCAGCCATGCTCTTGGTGGAAGGTGAGGATGGCACGGGTTGCACAAAACACCAACCCCACCCTCTCCACACCCTTCCCCTAGTCTTACCAGGTGTGTCTGATGGTGGAGGGAGAGGACGACATAGAGCACATTGAGGCGTGTGTGGAGAAGAGTGTTGAGGCTGCCGCCTTGGGAGATGGCACCCTTGTGTCTGAGCTAAGCAATTATGAGATGACGTTTCTGTTCGCGTATTCAGGGTGGTTCTGGGATTTTGGCAATCACAAATGCATGAGTGAAATGGATTTTACTCCTAGAACCAGGAATTCTGAACATGTGAAACTGGGGAGATGCACCTAAAGAAGTATAAGGTGTTGCTAGTACAAATCTGCCATACCTGTTCCGTTTAACGCGTACACACCTGAACCAAGCCTGTCGGTTTGGTACACGTTCCCTAGTGCACCAACTATCCCCGAGATGTTACAGACCCATTTTTACAATCAGACTCCGCAACCAGGGGTGACACATTTCTCGAAATCCAGCTCGGGTTGCACTGATTGCTCGCGACACTTGACGCTTGAAAGTGGTACTTAATTGAAGTGTTTGGATAGGTGCGACATTCCCAGCGCCTCGTGACTGGAAAGTTTTCCTAGGAACCTGGCAGTGAATCAATTAACGAAAATGTTTAGACATCCACGTTTCCAAAGGACGTCACAATTGCCGGAGAAATGCGCCCTCGTTCTGAGAACCTAGGGAACACCTCGACGCAAAAGTCGGCTGGCTCATCCTGTTCTTTCATCTGTATCACGACTCGAAGTCGTGCTGCCTCTCGCCTCCACCGATCATCAGATCCCAGGGAATAGCCTCGCCATTTTCCATTCCGTAGTGAGGTCGCAGGGCATTGCACAGTCGTAAGGCAGCGGCTATGTGTCGCAGCGGCGCGACGAACCGTCCTCATTCAAAGGATTATGTGGTCCTTCCTCCA